AAGCTGAAGGCGGTAGGGGAGTTTCAGTAGGGGGGAAATAAATGGGATTAAATCTGGAGTATCTGAGAGAGTTAGAGCAAAGGAAGGGGTAGCAGTAATGTTAAATGATCAGTTATGGAAGGAGAAAAGAGAATATGAATGTGTAAATTCAAGAATTATGTGGATTAAAGTAAAGGTTGGATGCGAAAAGTGGGTCATAATAAGCGTGTATGCACCTGGAGAAGAGAGGAATGTAGAGGAGAGAGAGAGATTTTGGGAGATGTTAAGTGAATGTATAGGAGCCTTTGAACCAAGTGAGAGAGTAATTGTGGTAGGGGACCTGAATGCTGAAGTAGGAGAAACTTCTAGAGAGGGTGTGGTAGGTAAGTTTGGGGTGCCAGGTGTAAATGATATTGGGAGCCCTTTGATTGAACTTTGTATAGAAAGGGGTTTAGTTATAGGTAATACATATTTTAAGAAAAAGAGGATAAATAAGTATACAAGATATGATGTAGGGCGAAATGACAGTAGTTTGTTGGATTATGTATTGGTAGATAAAAGACTGTTGAGTAGACTTCAGGATGTACATGTTTATAGAGGGGCCACAGATATATCAGATCACTTTCTAGTTGTAGCTACACTGAGAGTAAAAGGTAGATGGGATACAAGGAGAATAGAAGCATCAGGGAAGAGAGAGGTGAAGGTTTATAAACTAAAAGAGGAGGCAGTTAGGGTAAGATATAAACAGCTATTGGAGGATAGATGGGCTAATGAGAGCATAGGCAATGGGGTCGAAAAGGTATGGGGTAGGTTTAAAAATGTAGTGTTTAGAGTGTTCAGCAGAAGTTTGTGGTTACAGGAAAGTGGGTGCGGGAGGGAAGAGGAGCGATTGGTGGAAAGATGATGTAAAGAGAGTAGTAAGGGAGAAAAAGTTAGCATATGAGAAGTATTTACAAGGTAGAAGTGATGCAAGGAGGGAAGAGTATATGGAGAAAAAGAGAGAGGTTAAGAGAGTGGTGAAGCAATGTAAAAAGAGAGCAAACGAGAGAGTGAGTGAGAGGTTATCAACAAATTTTGTTGAAAATAAGAAAAAGTTTTGGAGAGAGATTAACAAGTTAATGAAGCCTAGAGAACAAATGGATTTGTCAGTTAAAAATAGGAGAGGAGAGTTATTAAATGGAGAGTTAGAGGTATTGGGAAGATGGAGGGAATATTTTGAGGAATTGTTAAATGTTGATGAAGATAGGGAAACTGTGATTTCGTGTATAGGGCAAGGAGGAATAACATCTTGTAGGAGTGAGGAAGAGCCAGTTGTGAGTGTGGGGGAAGTTCGTGAGGCAGTAGGTAAAATGAAAGGGGGTAAGGCAGCTGGGATTGATGGGATAAAGATAGAAATGTTAAAAGCAGGTGGGAATATAGTTTTGGAGTGGTTGGTGCAATTATTTAATAAATGTATGGAAGAGGGTAAGGTACCTAGGATTGGCAGAGAGCATGCATAGTTCCTTTGTATAAAGGCAAAGGGGACAAAAGAGTGTGCAAAAATTATAGGGGGATAAGTCTGTTGAGTATACCTGGTAAAGTGTATGGTAGAGTTATTATTGAAAGAATTAAGAGTAAGACAGAGAATAGGATAGCAGATGAAAAAGGAGGCTTTAGGAAAGGTAGGGGTGTGTGGACCAGGTGTTTACAGTGAAACATATAAGTGAACAGTATTAGATAAGGCTAAAGAGGTCTTTGTGGCATTTATGGATTTGGAAAAGGCATATGACAGGGTGGATAGGGAGGCAATGTGGCAGATGTTGCAGGTGTATGGTGTAGGAGGTAGGTTACTGAAAGCAGTGAAGAGTTTTTACGAGGATAGTGAGGCTCAAGTTAGAGTATGTAGGAAAGAGGGAAATTATTTCCCAGTAAAAGTAGGCCTTAGACAAGGATGTGTGATGTCACCGTGGTTGTTTAATATATTTATAGATGGGGTTGTAAGAGAAGTAAATGTGAGGGTCTTGGCAAGAGGCGTGGAGTTAAAAGATAAAGAATCACACAAAGTGGGAGCTGTCACAGTTGCTCTTTGCTGATGACACTGTGCTCTTGGGAGATTCTAAAGAGAAGTTGCAGAGATTGGTGGATGAATTTGGTAGGGTGTGCAAAAGAAGAAAATTAAAAGTGAATACAGGAAAGAGTAAGGTTATGAGGATAACAAAAAGATTAGGTGATTAAAGATTGGATATCAGATTGGAGGGAGAGAGTATGGAGGAGGTGAATGTATTCAGATATTTGGGAGTGGACGTGTCAGCGGATGGGTCTATGAAAGATGAGGTCAATCATAGAATTGATAAGGGGAAAAGGGTGAGTGGTGCACTTAGGAATCTGTGGAGACAAAGAACTTTGTCCTTGGAGGCAAAGAGGGGAATGTATGGGAGTATAGTTTTATCAACGCTCTTATATGGGTGTGAAGCATGGGTAATGAATGTTGCAGCGAGGAGAAGGCTGGAGGCAGTGGAGATGTCATGTCTGAGGGCAATGTGTGGTGTGAATATAATGCAGAGAATTTGTAGTTTGGAAGTTAGGAGGAGGTGCGGGATTACCAAAACTGTTGTCCAGAGGGCTGAGGAAGGGTTGTTGAGGTGGTTCGGACATGTAGAGAGAATGGTGAGAAACAGAGTGACTTCAAGAGAGTATCAGTCTGTAGTGGAAGGAAGGCGGGGTAGGGGTCGGCCTAGGAAAGGTTGAGGGAGGGGGAAAAGGAGGTTTTGGTGCGAGGGGCTTGGACTTCCAGCAGGCATGCATGAGCGTGTTTGATAGGAGTGAATGGAGACAAATGGTTTTTAATACTTGACGTGCTGTTGGAGTGTGAGCAAAGTAACATTTATGAAGGGGTTCAGGGAAACCGGCAGGCCGGACCCGAGTCCTGGAGATGGGAAGTACAGTGCCTGCACTCTGAAGGAGGGGTGTAAATGTTGCAGTTTAAAAACTGTAGTGTAAAGCACCGTTCTGGCAAGACAGTGATAAAGTGAATGATGGTGAAAGTTTTTCTTTTTCGGGCCACCATGCCTTGGTGGGAATCGGCCAGTGTGTTAATAATAATAATAATGTGTACCTGTGAGAAAAGATACACAGACAGATAGAAAGAGATAGACAGAGACAGACAGGGACAAAGATAGAGACAGACCGACACAGACAAACAAACAGAGCCAGGCTGCCAGCAACCGGCCAGTCACACAGCTGGCCAGCCAAGTCGCCAGCCAGGTGGCCGGCCAGCCAATCAGTCAGCCAGCCAGCCTGCTGAACAAGTATTACGTTCCAAAATTGTTTCTCTTTACTTAGGACATAGGTTATAAGACATTCTGAAAGGGTGTTGCACAAATATTGCACAAGGGATATTTTCGAGTTTTTCTTTTTTTATATTTCCTCAACCACTTAAAGCCACATCCACCTCAAAGCCACTAAACTCGGGGTCAACATCACTTTCCTCTTAAAATGGGAGAGTTAATAGGTGTTTGCCCCGCCGTTTGCTCTAGCTGGCACTCATTTGAAATGGTGCTCCCACAAGGTACTAAGTGGTCCCAGATTTTTTAATACAGTGCACACTGAGTGTTATGGCCCATTCTATGCTGACCAGGCATCTCAGGCCAATCGTGCCATATTTGAAAGCAGGAAAAATAAAACATTTATATACATTTGGCTAGGTAGTAGGTTGGTAGACAACAACCGCCCAGGGAGATACTACCGTCCTGCCGAGTGTAAAATGCAAGCCTGTAATTGTTTTACATGATGGTAGGATTGCTGATGTCCATATTTCTGTCTCATAAACATGCAAGGTTTCAGGTATGTCTTGCTACTTCTACTCACACTTAGGTCACACTACACATACATGTACAAGCATATATATATACACCCCTCTGGGTTTTCTCCTATTTTCTTTCTAGTTCTTTTCTTGTTTATTTCCTCTTATCTCCATGGGGAAGTGGAACAGAATTCTTCCTCCATAAGCCATGCGTGTTGTAAGAGGCAACTAAAATGCCGGGAGCAAGGGGCTAGTAACCCCTTCTCCTGTATATATTACTAAATGTAAAAGGAGAAACTTTCGTTTTTCCTTTCGGGCCACCCCGCCTTGGTGAGATACGGCCGGTGTGTTGAAAGAAAGATAGATATACGTTTGGGACACTAGCGGTAAGAACGTACATATACGTTTGGGCCATTTACAGGCTAATGTGTACCTGCACATCAGCACAGTGTGTAAGTATATTTAGTTACAGGTATACATAAATATAATTATCAGAGCGCATATAAAATATGATATAACTTTTAAAAACGATTGAAATTTTAGAAAGTTTCCAGACATAATGGAGAGACGCAGTGCTCACGGAGCTCAAGGAGAACGTAAACAAACCAGGTGGGGGCGCGGCGACTGTATTAGAAAGTCAAGTGGAAGGAGCCATATAGCAAGTTTTGGTCATAATTTGAAATGTCTGTAATAGCGGAACGCCGTAAAGCGGAATGCCATAAAGCGAGGCCCTACCATACTTCAGCATGTCTAAAACATTGCTGGGGCCTATACATACTTTGTATATATTTCTAGACAACAGTACGTGACCAAGGCAGGTGAATATGTTCACCTGTCAGTGTGTTTGTGACTATCTGATTACTATTTCAGTACCTAATACTAGTGTCAGAACAAAGATTGGTACAAAATCACAAGAGTTACTATAAACTGTAATTATCAGAACACAGAAAATTATATAAATTAAAAAATAAAACAAGAAAAAGAGGTACATCGGCAACTCCATGTTTCCATCAGGTGAGCATCCAGCACCAACTTCGCGGTCTGATATCTCGGCAAGTACCGACTCAAAATTTTTTTTTTCTTTCTTTTTGGTCTTATTATACACAGAAAATTGTCCTGTTTAATTTTTTTTTCCAAATATTCAGAGCACTAGCAGTGAAAATGTAGATCTACGTTTGGACAGTTAACGCGTTAAACACAGTTTCTATCATTATCAATATGACACTAAATGCCAACTTACCTCTTTGGCTTTCTCCAACTCTTGTTTGAGCAAGGCCTTTTGCATAATATTCTGGGTATGAGCGACTAGTTCTTGGTGTGAAGGGGGTCTGCGGGGGCCTCCTCCAACATTATTCACACTCAGACTATTGCCCAATGACCCACCAGCAAACACTGTAGTAAAAGAATACCAGTCAAACTAACCTTTCTTGGTGCATTGGATGTACCCTAATTTTTCAAAGATTTTCTAAAAGGACCTAATTGTCGTATCATACGTCCACTTAATATTTAAAATTCATATTCACTATAATGTGCTCTTTGGCATCACAAATCAATAATGTTCCTTTCAATAATGGCATAGAGAATAAAAAATACAGCCTAAACATACTTTAGTACAAATTTTTATTTAGGACTCAAACATCACTGAAAAAATGACAAATCAGTTTTGTATAGTAAATTATGTAGAATTTAACCTAAGATAACCCAATAATATCAACAATACATTTCTACTGGGATCCTTGTCTTCTAACACTATGTACAAAGAATGCTTAAAATGCTACAATTGTTTTAGAGTGTAATACTTCTCAAAACATGGATACAAGTCACAATGACTTTACTAAGTTATTCTGGATTAAATATACTTAATGTGCTTTACAGCTGAATTCCACTGTAACTACAGTAGACCATCAATTAACGCATGTTCCTCTACCATGTTTTCTGCAATATACTATTGCAAAACAGCAGCATATTTTCAACTAACACTGTAGAATTCGATTAACACAGTGTGAGTTCCAGAAAAAAAAATTTGAGCGCTTCGAGCTGGACTGCAGGATTTTCCCCCTCCATCTAACGGGCTTGTAGGCAGCCTAACTGTGGGTTAGTCAACTGTCTTTGTGGGAGAGACCTAGCTTCATCCCTTGCCTCCTCCATCCCACCTCCTATTGGTTGGTACACATGTGTCAGAGGCGTTTGTGATTAAATTAGGCGATTCCTGCATACAAGTCAATATATGCAGTGTTTTCATATCAGTAAGTCACTGACATTTTTTGAGTTACCCTAGGTAATTCATACTATTTATGAAAATTGTACTTGCGTGTACCTGTGCCTAAATAAACTTAATATCCTCAAATGTGAACTTGCTGTAGACACTGTTTATATACATTTTGGGAGGGCAGACAAAAACTGCACCTGACCATGTGAGGACTTTCTTAGTGTTTATATACCCTGTTTATCTTTTTTTGTTTAATACAAGTTAAAAGATGAAAGTAACCAGAATGTAATGTGTATACAGTACTTACTTCACATATATTTGTGAATCAATTTAGTCAGTACACTCGTGTATTGTTTGTTTTAGGATGTGTGTGTGAGTTCATTGTTGTTGGGGTTAAGGGCTTAAGGAGTAAAGGCTGTGAGCATCCCACCCTTCCTTATACAGTGGACCCCCGGTTAACGACATTTTTTCATTCCAGAAGTATGTTCAGGTGCCAGTACTGACCGAATTTGTTCCCATAAGGAATATTGTGAAGTAGATTAGTCCATTTCAGACCCCCAAACATACACGCACAAACGCACTTACATAAATACACTTACATAATTGGTCGCATTGGGAGGTGATCGTTAAGCGGGGGTCCACTGTACTGATTATTTTTATTACTGAAAATGCAGGGAAAATTATATATTCATTAAATTCCTTTAAGTAATAATTTTTTTTTCAACGAACCATCCATATCCTACCGAGTCAGGGTAACCTAAAAAGAAAAACAGGAGTTTTTCTTTTACATTTAGTAATTTATAGAGGCACTAGCTGCTTGCTCCCAGCATTCTAGTCGCCTCTTATGACACGAATGGCTTAGGAGGAAGAATTTTTTCTATTTCCCCATGGAGATAAGAGGAAATACATTTATTAGTATGTAACAAATAGTTGGGGAGAGGGGTGGGATTAAATTATGGGGAAACAAATACAAAATGGGAGCTGACACAGTTACTTTTTGCTGATGATACTGCTTTTGGGAGATCTTAAAGAAGAGAGGCAAAGATTAGTGGATGAGTTTGGGAGGGTGTGTAAAAGAAGAAAGTTGAAAGTGAACATAAATAAGAGTAAGGTGATTAGGGTATCAATCAATTTAGATAAAGAAAAATTAGATATCACACTGGAGGGAAGGAGTATGGAAAAAGTGAATGCTATATATTTTTTTATTAACAGATTGGCGGCTTCCCACCAAGGCAGGGAGGACCAAAATAAAAAAAACTTTCATCATTCACTCCATCACTGTCTTGCCAGAGGAATACTTACACTACAGTTATAAAATTGCACCATTAACACCCTTCTTTTCGAGTGCATGCACTGTACCTCCTATCTCCAGGACACTAGTCCAGCCTGCTGGTTTCCTTGAATCCCTTCACAAATGTTACCTTGCTCACACTCCAACAGTCCGTCAAGTCCTAAAAACCATTTGTCTCCATTCATTCTCATCTAAAACACCCATGCATGATTGCTGGAAGTCCAAGCCCACAAACCTTTACCCCCCCTCCCTCCAACCTTTCATAGGCCGACCCTTACCCTGCCTTCCCTACATTACAGATTTATACACTCTTGAAGTCATTCTATTTCATTCCATCCTCCTACATGTCCTAACCACCTCAATAACCCCTCCTCAGCCCTCTGGATAATAGTTTTGGTAATCCCGCACCTCTTCCTAATCTCTAGACTACAGATTCTCTGCATTATATTCACACCACACATTGCCCTCAGACATGACATCACTGCCTCCAGCTTTCTTGTAGAAACATCAACCACTCATGCTTCACACCCATTTAAGAGCCTTGGTACAACTATACTCTCATACATTACCCTCATTGCTTCCATGGATAAATTTCTTAGTCTTCTCAGACTCCTAAGTGCACCACTCACCTTTTTCCCCTCATCAATTCTATGATTCACCTCATCTTTCATGGACCCATCTGCTGACACGTCCACTCCCAAATATCTGAATACATTCGCCTCCTCCATACTCTCTCCCTCCAATCTGATATCCAATCTTTCGTTACCTAATTTTTGTCATCCTCATCATGATACTCTTTCCTATATTAACTTTTAATTTCCTTCTTTTACATACCCTATGGAACTCATCCACCAACCTCTGCAATCTCTCTTCAGAACCTCCCAATAGCACAGCGTCATCAGCAAAGAGCAACTTTGACAACTCGCACTTAGTGTTATATTCTTTATCTTTTAACCCCACACCTCTTGCCAACACCTGAGCATTTACTTCTCTTACAACCCCCTCTATAAACATATTGAACAACCAAGGCTAACCATAGCATTGATGAAGGAAAAAAGGCAAGTGGTGCTTTGAGGTATATGTGGAGACAAAAAAAAGTTAACCATGAAGATAAAGGGAATGAACGAGTACAGTGGTACCAACACACTTATATGGGTATGAAGCATGGGTTGTAAATGCTGCAGCGAGGAGGCGGCTGGAGGCAGTGGGGATGTCATGTTTAAGGGCAATGTGTGGTGTAAATATTATGCAGAGAATTTGTAGTGTGGAAATGAGGAGGTGGTGTGGAATTACTAAAATTATTAGACAGAGGGCTTAAGAGAGGTTGTTGAGGTGGTTTGGTCATTTGGAGAGCATACGAATCTGTCATGGAAGGAAGGCAGGGTAGGAATCGTCCTAGGAAAGGTTGGAGGGGGCAAAGTAAGTTTTGTGAGTAAGGAGCTTGGACTTCCAGCAAGCGTGCATGTTAGGAGTGAATGGAGAAGAACTGATTTTGAGACCTGACAAGCTGTTGGAGTGTATGCAGAGTAATATTTTGTGAAGAGATTCAGGGAAACTGGTTAGTCAGACTCAAGTCCTGGAGGTGGGAACTACAATGCCTGCACTTTAAAAGAGGGGTTTTGGATATTGGCTGTTTGGAGTGACATCCAAACTGTCGTATCCGAGTGCCTCTGCAAAGACTAATTATGTGTGAGTGATGGCGAAAGAGTTGAACATGAATTTTTTTTTTCTTTTTGGTCCACCCTGCCTCAGTGGGAAACTGCTGTGTTAAAAAAAAAAAATTACTTGCTGCTTACAAAATGTGGCTTATTACATAAACTCTCCAATAATAAGAAAGTTGTATAAGAGACATTTACAGTGTATGTGTAAGGAAGGGAACAATGCTAAAGAGAGAGAGAGAGAGAGAGGAGAGAGAGAGAGGAGAGAGAGAGAGAGGACAGCGTGAAACAAGCTTTTATGCCACGAGACGGGCAGAAAGCAGCAACTTCACTCTGGCTGTACCCTTCTCCAGAACATCACTCCATCTGATATCATATATACCCAGGATGACTCGAGTATGGAACACATTCGTACAGCATAATGATGTCAACGAGATAAAGTCAGTTGATCAAATGAAAATGCTGGCACACAGATGGCTCCAATTTCATCCTGTTCCTTACTTGTATGTCTCATAACAATAAAAATGCTTTCAAATGAGCTGATGTAGGTAACCTGTAAATAGCTTGCCAATAAAGTTAGGAATCCTTAACCTTGTCAAAACCTGTGTAAAAAAAAAAAAAGAGGGGAGAGAGGGGAGAGAGAGAGGTGAGAGAGGTGAGAGAGAGGGAGGAGAGAGGAGAGGGGGGTGAGAGAGGGGGGAGAGGGGAGAGAGAGAGGGGGGAGGAGGGGGAGAGAGAGGGAGGGAGAGGGGTGGAGTGAGAGGGGTGAGAGAGGGGTGAGAGAGGGGTGGAGAGAGGGGAGAGAGAGGGGTGAGAGTGGGGGTGAGAGAGGGGTGAGAGAGAGGTGAGAGGGGAGAGAGAGGGGGAGAGAGAGGGGAGAGGAGGGGAGAGAGAGGGGAGAGAGAGGAGGAGGAGAGAGGGGAGAGAGGGGAGAGGGGAGAGAGGGGGGAGAGAGGGGGAGAGGAGAGGGGGAGAGAGGGGGGGAGAGAGGGGGATGCGAGGGGGGAGAGAGGGGGGAGAGGGGGGGAGAGGGGGGAGAGAGAGGGGGGAGAGAGGGGGGAGAGAGGGGGGAGAGAGGGGGGAGAGAGGGGAGAGAGGGGGGGGAGAGGAGGGGGGGAGGAGGGGGAGCGAGGGGGGGAGAGAGGGGGGGAGGAGGGGGAGAGAGGGGGGAGAGGGGGGGGAGAGGGGGGGAGAGAGGGGGGGAGAGAGGGGGGGAGAGAGGGGGGAGAGAGGG